TTTCATAATTATATAATAATTATAAATCGCTTCATCTTATATCTTTGCCCCGTTCTAGACGGCGTGCGTTTTATTTGAACACATCTTAGGGCTGGCATTGGGAAGGCAATAAAAGTAAGCACTCGACTGGCGGGATTAGGCCGAATAATCATCCGTTTTGTTGAATAATATCCCATGCCAGTGTCCAAATAGATAACACACACTTATTTATTTGCAAACTGGCGCTAAAATAGTGTTACATGAATTGCCAGAGGAGTCATAAACTACGAGACTATGATAAACACTTTATGATTTCTTTTACGTCCATGAACACAATCTATAAAATACATGTAAATAAAATTGAAGTGTCAGTATGTATATATTTTATACGAAAAACTTAAGTTTTTTCTTGAAAAACCGAAAAAGATCCAATCCAGTCGAAGCCGGGGCGGGTTGCTAGTATTTAATAAGTATTTTACGAATTTTATCTCCTTTAGTTAAGTTTTCTTAAATTACTGACATTTAAAGTGATTTATTCGACGTTTTCCGTCTTATTACAAAACGTGGTTTATTGATATGCTCGGCCTTAAAATGTGACTTAAAAAGAGTCTTTTTCATGAAAAAAGTCCCTTAGCCACAACACCACAGTAGACATGTGTCAATAGTGAATGAATCGTTCATTTGACCCGAGTGGCATCACAATATTGATGATTGCAATTACATTTTTGAACGTTCCGGAACAAACGATTGACAGGACCTACAACCGAAGCGTATAGTAACGACCAACATTATCGAGCGGGTCTCACAGATCACAGCGTACTGAAACTCGAAATGATCAATTTAATTGATCGAACCGAATGATCCTTTTCGAAAGACGAATCAATATTTGAATGATCGGATCACTAGAAAATAATGAATGACACATGTCTACGCCACAAGCCTTGTGAAATTTGAAGTTCCATACATTATATTTACCATTGTCTTTACAGCCTATCCAAAGTCCACTGCCGAATGCCTTCCCCATAGATTGCCTCGTAGAGGCGATTTGTGTCATAGTTGCGGCTTTTCATTTCATACGAGTGGTTGTTACTAGGAACACTGTGCTGCTCATTCTCTAGTTCGTTTCCTTCCATCGCCTCTTACACCCACAGGATGATAAGGGATAGTGGATATTCTTACTCCGCCACTACACATACATCTTTCTTCTTTCTTTCTTCGCCAAATAGTTTCATTGTTGGTCTGTGTAGTCAACCCGGACCTTTCTTCATTAATTTTTTACGTGGTAGAGCCAGGTTGCAGCTATATTATGGTTTTAGTACGAAAGGGTTGGCTCGACCGGGGTAGGAACAGGCTCTCTCAGAATACAAGCGTAAAATAGCAGCTTAACGCTGCTCTGTTTCGTATGTGAGAGTACTGGAACCTTTTCACTGGAAAAGAGAACCACCACACTAATTCTATAAAAAAAATTGTGTTCATACGCAAAAAAAACCGTACGACAGCAAACGTCTGTACCTTGAATGCTAAGACTTTGTATGTATGGCTTTAGATTTATTTTCATTAATCACTCTTTATCTTTTTTATCTTTAAAAAAAGAAAAACGTTACCCCCACACTAGGATTTTCTCCTGTGTCGTGGAGGCAGTTTACAAACATAAATTGCACAAGGACAAACATCATTAATTACTCAGTCATTATTAATTAAATCCTCAGTTGAAATATGATGCCTTTTATTGCTATAGTTTGAAGAATTATAGTTGGCATAAAACGGTGTCCTTTAGCTAGGATTTGTAGATTTTCCAAATCAAATGGGAATAAAAAGGTAGCGCTGGCGGGTGGTCCTAAATGTGTTCGCAAAAATCACGTTTAATGTTATGACCTTTTACGCGGGTTTTTATTGATATTTTGTTTACTCTGTGTCAGAGAGATCACAGTATTATAATAATGTCTCGGCAACTACTGGATATTTCCATTAGTTAAAGTTAAAAAATTAAAGTTACAGTCTATATACGTCCCACTGTTGGGCACAGGCCTCCTCTCATTTCTGAGAGGGTTTTATGTCTATATTATGTCTATATTATATATAGACATAAAAACCTCAAACCTATATTATATATATATATATATATATATATATATATATATATATATATATATATATAGACATGAAAACCTCAAACCCTAAAACCCTCTCAGAAGTGAGAGGGTTTTAGGGTTTGAGGCCTGCCTGCTTGCCTGTGCCCAACAGTGGGACGTATATAGACTGTAACTTTAATTTTTTTTCTTATTTCTCAGACATATTTTCACACGATATTTTCCTTCACCGCCGAGCACGTGGTAAATCAACACTTAAATTTGCAATTAAGCAATTAAGTGCCGGCGGGGATCGAACCCAGATTGCTCGCGTACTGTGCAATTTACAGCGAGCGCTAACCACCTGAGCTATCACGGCTCCGATTTTAGCTGCGAACACGTTTATTAATTTTATTTTTTAATTTTAAATTTAACTAGAAAAATGCCGTAACATTTATTTTTCGAAACATGTTTTTTTTTACCCCAGGTCTTTCGTCGAGATTCTAATTTATTTTGAGATTTTCGTAAAATATTATGTGATCCGAATTCATCTCCGGCGGCACCACTGAAATTGTTTATTGTAATTTAAAGTGTGGGTTAATGAGCTTGACGGTGAAGAAAACATCGTATAGAAACTTGCATATCTGAGAATTTAAAAATAATAAGGGATAATGAAGTTCCGCCAAGACGCGTTGAGGCAGCGCGGGGGAATCTTTCTTGCGTTAACCCCTTCAGGAAAGGGAGGAGGCCTGTGACAAGCAATAGAACGTAAATATTAATGGTTAATTTTTCTTAATCGTATTATACGACTTAATACAATAAAATGTATATGTACTCTGTACTTTTAAGCCTAGTTTATAGACAATGTAAGTCTATTTGCGAAATACTCAAACCAAACGCTCAATTTCAAGATGCCGTTAAGTCTCATGCTGTCTCTATCTTTCAGTCAAAGTTACTGTGACATCCTTAAATTGAATAGCGTTTTAGTATTTGGCCATATAAGTGTCTTTTTTAAATAAGTCAGCAGAATCAGTCATTCAAGAAAAACTTAAGTGGATTAAATGAATGTGTTCTATTCAGATTTGTTCATACATACATACATATATAAACACAGCCTGTCACCCAGAGGGGTAGGCAGAGACTACGGACTCCCATTTGGTACGATTCTGACACACCTCTCTCGTCTCCTCCACATCCATATATATACCTACGCATACATGCACGTCGGTTAAGGTACTCTTAATTTGGCGCATTTTCAATATTTAGATTTGTATTCGACTTAGTTAAAAATAATAATTAAACAAAAGTAGATTTCTTAATTTTCAATGTATCATAACATAAGACGTGATGCGATGCGATCGCGGGGCAGCAAGTAATGTAACACGGGCATGCAATGCGTTGAAAAAACACATTTGAAATTATAAAGAGCCGTTACATAAAGGCGCTTGGCTTGCGTGACGACGTGCTCCGTTGCGTCCGTCCTCCGTGCGTCTTTCCGCGCCGACCTGTTCCTCTCTAGTTGATATTCTCTTTACACATACGTAATATATAACTTGCGTTCTTAATGAAGATTATCTAAGGTTATTTGAAGTATTTTTCTTATTCTGACAAACTAAAGTATAATTTAAAATTCATGTGACTTTTCAATTATGTGATTTATTAGAATAAAAACTTGCGTTCTTAATAAAGATTAACTTAGATTATCTGAAGCATTTTTCTTGATCTATCAAAGTGAAGACGTGTTACGTGGTAGAGCTATGCTGCAGCTATATTTAATAGTATAGTTGTAGCACGAATGGGTCGGCTCGACCGGGGAATGACCACGCTCTCATAGAATATCAGCGTAAAATAGCAGCTTAATGCTGCTGTGTTTCGTGTGGTGAGTGTAGAGAACCGGAGACCCTTTTTGCTGGAAAAGAGGCATTCCATCTTAGTCCTCACGGCTGACAACGCATCTGCAGTTTGATTCGCAAACGAGGATAGATGTAGATGTGTATGCCACAGCAAGCACTTACCATCAGGTGGACTTTATGCTCGCTTGTCACCCTTATCCTATAAAAAAGTATATTTAATTGTATTATTATTAAAATTCATGTGCCTTTTCATTTGTGATTTATTAGAATAATAAATGAGCTGCATTCGTATTTTGTACCTCAACTGCAACATGTGTTTGGTCTGAATGGCTCGGAGGGCCATAATTAAAGGTTGTAAGCTATTTCACCTCGGTCTTCAGAGGTGACAATGCATCACTAAGCTTCTATGTTCGATTTTGGCTGCTATTCATGGCGGTAGTCACTCCACTCCAGTTTAAGTTTTTTTGAAAGAATAAATGTTTGCCAAACCAAAGTACCAGGAACACATGAAATTACAATGAAGACGATTGAAAAAATAATTAAAAGTGCCAAAAACATCTCATATTATAAAAAATCGGTCAAGTTCATACTATACACAATTAGTGTTCTACGTCTCAAACCCTTTAATCCCATTTAAATCATTAAATGCCTCTTCTGTATTTAGGTAACCGTATTTTATATCTGTATCCAATTTGATTTATTTAAAATCCTCTATAATAAACAGATAGGAACCGAGGTATTTCTATTTTTATTTATTTTTATTAAATGCTATTCCGATTTTTGTACTCGATACGAAATACAAACAAAAAACTATTTTCTGATGGAAATCTATTAATGATTTTTTTATATTTACGCGATACTTCATATTGAATAAAACTATTTTTATGGATTTTATCGCGTTTAAATTTAGCTTCTGACATTTCGAGTGTTTCATCCCTCGTGACTCAGGTGCAGGACATAGGTGCTGTAAAGCGCTCGAAATATAAGTTGTTAAAAATAGGTCAAAATTAAAATTAAACTCGGTAAAATCTGTAAAATTAGTTTCAATGGAAATTCCGTTCTCCGGTAGATTTTTAACTATTTGCTTTGTACGTTTCAGGCCGCGGAGGCGATCTGGTTCCAGCATTGTGGTGCTGGGCGCTGAGGACGAAAAGCGACCGCCGCCGGATGACGAGACAGAGATGCTCACCATGCTCTCACTCTCTTCGGACACCGGTTAGTATATACACCTTGACTTTATTTTTAAATAAATAAGTGTAAAGGAGATTAACTGTGTAGTGGGGATGTAAGAATATCCACTAACCCATATCGTCCCATGGGTGTCGTAAGAGACAACAAAGGGAAACTGAAACAGGAGATGGGTAGCAGCATCTTCTTGATAACAACGCACAGTTATAAAAAAAAAACATGATGTGTGCAGTTCACACGCGGTAGCAGTGAAACCTTCAGAAAACTATACTTCGAGAGAATGAGACGCTAAACCCTGTAGATGTATACTTCTGTCTCTTTTTAGTGTCGCTTTTTCATTTAATCGAGTTCCACATCAGAACGGTTCTAGAGAAGTTTTCACTTCAAAGACTGCAGTTGCCAACCCGCCTGCCGAGCGTGGCACTATGGCAAAATCCCCGCTACATATTGTATATATTATTAAATAATTATATATACCTAAATAAAATTAGCTTATTTGGGATAAAATGTTTACATAATGTATTATAATTAATCCTTATGCTCCCGAACTAGTTTAAAACTGTGTTTCAGGAGGCAGTGGCTCTCTTATGCTATTATGATATAATTGTGTTATTAATTTGTCTTGACTTACCTTAAAAACTATTAAATAAATCTACTTAAAGCACTAACAATCTCAACCATAACTTCGCGCGGTGACGACCAGCTGTTGGCGAAATATCCGTACCCAGATCTTCAAGATTGGTGATGGAAAGCATAATTACAATGCATAGTGACAGCGCAGTGGACTCTTCTTCCCCTAAAACCCGCTCAGAAATGAGAGGAGGCCTGTGCCCAGGCGTGGGACTTATGCAGACTGTAACTTTATTTTTTTACTTTATTATGACAAACGATCATTTAGTCCACCTGATGGTAAGTGGATACTGTGACCCATAGACCTCTACATACACATTATCGATTAAGAATCAAAATACAGATGCCCAGATATCATATTGATGGTATTTTATATTGCACGTCACCAAATACTTCCAGGATACCATATTCCATACATTCTCATATGTGTGAGCGGGTATATTTTAAATAGGTGCACAATTTTGAGCTGTATCTCGTACAAAATAAGTTTAAGAGTGCACCAGTGCTACGACTATCAAGTTAAATTAAGCAGCACATTACGCTACTTCCTGAATTACTTTTTGCTTTATTGTTACGCGAAGGTCGTCTCACGGTTGAGAAATGTGACCATCATTCAAATTTATTTACGGATGACGCTCTCGGTAAACATGTTTGAAATATTGCTGTCGCCTCTGAAAATAATAAACTACAATGTTGTTTTTTATTGTTAAGTTTTCTTAGGTCTTAACTATCGTTCGTGGGCAGTTACTTGCTAAATTAACTACTGCTTAAAATTGGGAACAATATGTCAGTAGTCGCCGGTTATTTTGGTGAGCACTGAACACCCTAAGGCTGATTTACACATTACACATGTTTATGGTTACATTACACATACATGGTTATGATAATACAAACAATATCAATATAATACATTTGATAGACCACAAATTCTCGCAACATGGATGATTCGCGAGGCTTTTGAAATAAAAAAGACACCCTAATTTCAATGGTAAAGTTGACTGGATGTTACCATCTGCTTGAGATCCCATTATTAATAAAATTAAATCCAAACCCAAACATTCAGCAATACTTCAAGATAGTGTAAGCTCGTACTGCGTAGATCGAACCAAAATTTTATATTTTAAACTGAAGGTAGCCGTGGTTAACTGTGACATTGAGACGTCAAACACCTCAGTCTCCTCCATGCCCATAGGTGCTGTAAATTACACGATACGTCCATACAAACCGAAAGTTAAACTGGATAAAATCCGCAAAATTTGTTTTATTCCACAAATGATATCTCGATATATACATCGATTATAATATATGTATGTTATAAAAATAAGAATATAACTCTTATTCTTGTAAAAGAAAAACACATCACATCATAATTATCACTCTAAATTGCGGATATACATTCTTGCGATGGTTCTGAAACTCGCGGCTAGATAAAGGCCGTTGAAACGTTTAATAATTTACTTACGAGTATCTATGTATTAAATATTGTTACTTCCACATTTTTTTTATTATTTAATATTATCCGTATTTGCTACCGAAACGTTCTTTCTGAACGTCAACAATTTTATTAACCCAAACAAAAACTTGTCTGTTTTTTTGATTGTGTTTTTATGTCTAATTGCCACTAGTTTCTATCCATGCTACAATTAGGGCTTCCAACGATACATCTAATCATGACTTGATATAGGTTACTAAGATTTATGACGTAATAAGCCGTCGGAATAACAAAGGCACTCATTAAGAATTGCTACTGAAGTTTTCCAATTAACTAATAAGTGTATTGTTCGTTGATAGTACTTGACTCATTTTAACCATTTTTTTAATAGAATGAGGGTGATAAACGCGAACACAGTCCTCCTGATGTGGACCATAGACATCTACATTTATCCTCGATTACAAATCAAAATGCAGATGCGTTGTCACCCTCGAGTATTGAGATGGAATGCCTCGTTTGCAGTTTAAAGGATAAGTGGTTCTATATACTCACCATACGTAACACAACAGCATTGAGCTGATATTTTACACTGGTATTTTGTGAGAATGTGGTCCTTCTCCGGTTGACTGAGCCGATCCATTCGTGCTTCAACCATAATATAGCTGCAGCATGGCTCTAATAAGTACAAAAAAAAAGAGGAGATTCTGTATTCGACTCAATTTTTTTATGGTTATTTTTCGGAAACGGCTGAACCTAGTTAAATAGTTCTTTGTTTGAATTAAATTGGTAATACTTCAGGGGTGGTGTTAGAGTGATTCTTCTTAAGTCATCTAGCATCCATCGACTTAATACATCTGTTACCAGGTCGTTACTACATATAGTTGAGGGCTACCCCATAATGTACGAGGACCTACTCCAGAACATTTCTTCCCCATCGGTCATCAGTTCTTCGAACTATATGGCGGGCCGATTGCCACTTCAGCTCACCGATCCGTTGGGATATATCCGTTACTCTGGTTCTACTGTGAATATCCTTATTGCGAAGTCTATTATGGAGACGAACTCCTAGCGTAGCTCTCTCCATAGTTTCTTAGATCTTGAGCTTCCCCATACGGCCAGTAGTGACCACGTCTCAAATGCTTATATTATCACTGGCTATTTCTGTTTATAATTAATATTGCTTTCCCAATAGTATGATTATTTTGGACCAAATTAACTCCAAATAGCTTCTCGTCCATTTAGCGTTAATTGGCTGTTAGATCAACGGCCGATTATGAGTTAATTTTATTTGGGTCAGCGACGCAATTTTAGGATATTGGCTCAATACCATAAATAAACTGTATACGGTTATTGATTGCTGATATATAAATAACAAGTTTTCATGTTTTTTGCCTTAGACTATAAATACAATATTGTTTTTAATACCTATACATCCGAATCGGGTAGGGACGGTGTAAGAATATCCACTACTACAGGAAAATTGACCAGGTGATGGGCCGCAACTAAAAATAAAACACTACGGTTTCCAACCCGCCTGCCAAACGTGGCAACTATGACAAATATCCCCTCTATGAGACAATCCATAGGAGAGGCCAATGTAAAGCAGTGGACTTTTAATGGAATTTCAACGGGGACTAGCCACCTGTATAGGACAGGATTATAGTACCCGAGTGTATGCGTAAGCACAGGTGCACTCTCTATTCCCTCACTCCCATAGTCTGATGGGACGGCAATCCGACACGACCGGAGAGAAATCAGGCGAAGGACCAACGGCTTTACGTGCTTTTCGAGGTACGGGGGTGACACACCACCTACTTTCTCTGAACTGTTACTGAGAATTTATGGACAGAAAAACCCAATAACATTTATTAACTCGAAATTAACGAATTTATCGAAATTAACTCTTTTGTTTTCGACCCTAGTGGTCGAAGACCAACGAGACAGTCAATGAAGCGTTATACCTATTTATTAAAATTACACAAACCTAATTAAAATAGATTTCAACTGACTTTAATAATTAAAACAGATTTTATGTGCGGTTGTAATGTGCGATTGTATATGACGTTAAATAAAATCCTAAAATAAATATATATTTCACACATGTAAAAATTTCAAATTATTATCCCAATAAGAAAGGATTCTTATCTATAAAAAATTCACATTTATTTATATTTATTAGAGCTTTACCAATCCATATATAATCTGAAATTAATAATATTAAATCCAGCTGTCTGTTTACTTCCAGGTCCCCACCGCGAGATGCCGGTGGATGTTCCGGAGAACTTTATAGCGCGGAACAAAACACCACCCCGCTACCCGCCGCCTCGACCTCCTCAGGTACGTCTCCGTACTAGAGACGACGAGCCCCTACTCTCCTCTGGAGGCTCCGGGACGAGCTTTGGGAGCAAGCAAAGCACAGTACTTCAAAGCACTATAGATATATCAGGGCCCAGTTCTGACGGTTCCGGCAGTTTCAAGAACAATAGTACCATCGAATTACTCTCCCTACCTCAGAGCTCCGACGGTTCCGGTGTCAGCTTCGGGAGTAAAAAGAGCAAAGGCTCTTTGGAAACCGCCAAATGCGACCTGGTCTCTGAAAGGTCGGAATCGGTCGCCTCGAACACTACTCACAATCTGAGCGATCATAAGATCCAACTTCTCATACCTAATGGTCAAGATTCATTGTTAGATTGTAGGGAGGGAGTCACCTACTCGGCGAGAACGGACTCAGTGCTGATCAGGGAAGCGGTGTACGCTTCGTACAAGCTCCCCCCCGGCTTCGACACTACACCTGTCCTGCTCGGAAGGGAGGTAGCAGTGGATGTGCCAGAAAATTTCGTCCAAATTGTCAAAACCACGCCCAAATATCCCGGTACCGTGGACAGAAAGAGTGTGTTTCAGGTAAACAGCACGATTGCTTGGTTCATTTTCATCTGGTTGGGAAAGTAGAGTGTATGAGGTATGTGGGATACATTTAGTTGGGATAAACCAGAGCCCTTTTATTTATTTTAAAAATACATTTAATATAAATTAATAAAATGTTATGTTTTTACAGTAGCTAATAAGCTTTGTTTTGCTAATTCCAACTAGCAAAAATGTAACGTAAGAAAGAGTTTAGTTTTTTTATTAATTATTATAAACAGCAGAATTGCGGCGGGTGAATTGTAAAGAAGTGAGACATTCGGTCATTTAATTTTTCTTTTTATGGTGTTTAACCGAGTAGACGATTACTCAACTAAATTCATATTTTACGGCAGTCGAGTAAGAGTGAATTGATGAAGAGACAAAACTGAGGTATAGTTATTCTATGAAATAGAATAACTTACAATCGTCTATGTTTATTCGAAGATCTCATATAATTTATTTATCGTTCAAACTTAAGTTGTCTAACACTAACCTTTTTGTGAATCTTAAATATTTATTAACTTTTAGATTGCTGTTAAGTTTCTTAATGGTCGTAAAAGGTATACGATATACGAGTACAACAAATTTAAAGCAATGTGGTGACTTGTATAGCACAAGGATCATTTATCTGGTTTTATCTGTCTGGATTTAAATAAATTCAAGTAACTGAAAGTGCTTTAAAAGTGGATAAATAAGGACAGGTAATGAGATTAATTATTATCGGAATGAGAATATATTTAGGTCTTTTTTTTTCAAAAGCCTATGGAAAATATCCAATTGGCATCTTTAGCATCATAATTTATGTTGATAGTTGCGAAAATAACCTCTAAACACCTTGAAAACGCAGGCTGACAATAACTTCACTTCAATAGAATTAATTATTACGATAATTACCTACAATACCTTTGCATGTCGCAAGTGACACATAGTATAGGTGGTACTAACTTCATTACTGATCAGATATATCTAAAATGAAACAAGCTACATACTTTGGATGTAACTCGGTATTAAATAACTAAAACACTTATTATGCTCATGATTCTTATTTTTTTATATATTTACGTGAATACTAGGTGCATTTAGTCGTGTATTAAATAGATGACAAATGTGGCAAACTTCAATCACTAAATAACTAACTTGCGTCTAAGCGAATCGTATTATATCACATAAGGTGAAATAAATTGTGACAAAATGCCGCTAGCTTTATGTTATTTTTTCATTTATATAACTTTTTTTGTATAAATGTAAAAATAACATTTGCAATTACGACAAGTTCAAATCATGACGTTTTTTCTACTATTTCACAACCTTGGTTTGCTAGTTGGGATGTTTCATTAATGATACAAAAAAGTAAACATTAACTTTTATAAAGTGGCTCTGGTTAATGCTTGAATATTTAGGTCTATTAATTTTAGAATTTTAATTTGTAGAAAATCACTAACATCTTTTTATCATTAAGTTTTCATCTACTAACATTTAGAAACTAACTGGGTACAATTAATTTATTGTATTGTATTTTATTTAATATGTTTATTGGGTAACAAATCTTCGGTCGGAAATCACTGGATTGACTCCGTTAGTGGTCAAAGCAAACGGGCTACTATTTATTTACGCCATCTACCGTAAAATATTAAAAAAAGTCAAATAAAAAGAAATTCAAAAAGAAAATGCGTCAACTGCAATTCATTTCTGGTGTAGTTGAGAAGAAATTCTAATTATAAATGAATATTTTTAATATTTTAAATTTTAAGATATTTTCTACTCTCTTTAGAGATGTAGATAAATAATTTAGAGATAACTTTTCTAAAACAAAGAAGAAATAATAATGTTTGCTAATGACGTTAACTAATGAAATTAAACTTCGAACAAACAAAATTCATTTCACATTCACGGTCTAAATCCAAAATCTTTAGTATAATTTCATCAAACAATCATTAACATTGTTGTCATCATTTTGTATTCACGCTTTTTGCACTAAAACACTCTTCTGTCCGCGGAAATTTTATGAATATTATTATGTACATTAAATAGAAATTGTATGTTTTTCTATCGTATGGAATGAGAATTTGGATCTTCGGGGCTTTTGGGCCTTTTGGTGTTAACGCTCATTTATTAAAAAAATAAATTAAAATTTTATAGTTTAGATTTTAGAAGTTGGTGTATTTTGCTTTAGACAATTTTGGCATTTATACCTGCGGTATTTATAACTATACTATTTATATACGTAGTTTATTTATCTTTCTATTATTTTTAACATTTCAGATTCAAAAATATGATACACTGAGTCTTATAAACGAGCAAGCAATTTGACCAGAGGTAACAAAGCTGCCGTATAAGTATAATATTATGTTGCTCGCAATCCGACCCGAATTTGTATCGTAATTATGCCCCAAGGGAAAATGTCCAAGTCGTTATATAGCGGATATTTGATAAATTATACCTCTTAGTACTGGTGCAGATTTCCTTCTGTTATGTAATTCTTATTCCATTTTATCAGTCTTTTTAGTGAAAATTTACTTTGAATTCTGCGTTAAAGTAGGAAACATTTTGCTTCTATTATTATTGTAGTAATAAATTGAAAGCAATGTAAAACCATTTGCAACTTACCAGTTTACCTTTTTAAGAATAAAAAATTGTTTTACCAATCATTAGAATAATACTGATAAAGGAATAAATACCTGGTATTAAATACTCTTCATTTATGTACTTTATTTCAAGTCTTGTAATAAAAAAGGGATTATAAAATAGAAATAACTTTATTAAATATAGGTTTAAACAGATTAATTAAAATTAGTAACGAACGTCGAACAGTTAATCGCATGCGTTTTATTGTCATTACTTACGGCTTATAGATCAGTTACTGTTGAAAATTATGAGTTTCGTCACATGCGGAACAATACATAAACTCTCATTATATTCCTCTTACACACGTATTTCTCATAATCTCGAAATGATAGTCTATTATCTCGTTTACGAGTCGTACTTCGTGATGCACTAGATTATCTACGTTGATGGCGTCGCATTAAACATTATACATTTGTGATTTGGATAGACGCATGTACCTATATATAACGAAAAAAGAGGTAAAAGAGAAAAGAAATATCATCTTAACAAAAATATTTAAATAAAATATATAACTTAATATATACCTAAATGGTCCCCACTCAGCTTTAAGTCATGAATTGAAGATGGACATCAATTCGTAACGCTGATTTTCACTGGACCGACGAGTGTGAGCTAGATGACTTACGACAGCAAAAAAGACAAATATAAAATATTTAAACCTACTTATTTTACTTATATTTTAATTTATCTATACACTCATATAAAAAATTGAAGTGTCTGTCTATAATACAGAAATAACTGCTTTTTATTGTGCTGGTTTGCATGCCATTAGGACAGGATGAACCATTTTTAAAGTTTTTGTTTGTCTCTATGTCTTTCTGCCTGTCCGGACAAATTTTTGGCATGACTAAACCGATTGTAATGAAATTCGCGAATAAATAGATACCAATGCCAGGAGGGATTTAGGCTTATATTTTATCGGAAATCTTGGAGATTTTTTAAATAACTTGAAAAGTTTATGAAATATTTATAAATCCTACCCAGGCGAAGCCAGGGTGTACTGCTAGCACCAGTGAAAAATCGTTATTTCAACGATTTTTCACTCAATCGCAAGAAAGGAATCGAATAATCCGCCAGCACAGCGTCTGTCTTCCATCTGATTACAATGTGGGTGTCTTCAAGGCAAGAGTGAATAGGCTTTGTTAAACTAAGACAATGCCATTTATGATCTAGGGTTTCGTCACGACTTACGTTCGAAATGTAGTTAAAACACTGGTTCATAAGTAGAGTTTAAATAGAGATGTTATAACAGTTTAAATGTATCATCCACTATCGTATATTTAAATGTATCGTCACTAGTCCACTGCTGAACATAGGCCTCCCCCAAGGAATGCCACAAAGCACGGTCCTGAACCATCTGCATCCATCGACTTGTCTGCATGTCTTACCAGGTCGTCTCTCCATCTAGTGGAGGGACGCCCTATACTTCGCCTGCCGGTACGAGGCTGCCACTCCAGAACTTTTTTCCATCGGTTGTCGCTTCTTCGAGCTATATGGCCGGCCCATTGCCTCTTCAGCTTACTAATCCGTTGGGTTATGTCGGTCACTCTGGTTCTACTGCGCATATCCTTATTTCTAAGTTTATCACGCAGAGAAACCCCGAGCATAGCTCTCTCCATAGCTCGTTGAGCGAGCTTGAGCTTCCTCTTACAGCCAGCAGTGAAGGTCCACGTCTCAGTTCCATAGGTCATCACTGGCAACACGCACTGGTTGTACAGTCTAGTTTTGAAGTTTTGAGGTATACCTGACGAGAAGATATGCCGTAATTTCCCGAACGCTGCCCAGCCGAGTTGAATCCATCGATTGATCTCTCGGTCGAAGTTTGACTTACCTAGTCGGACTATTTGTCTCAGGTAAACATACTCGTCCACAACTTCGAGCTTAGTGCTCCCAACAACTACCGGCATAGGTGTGTCATGGACGTTATACATGATCTTTGTTTTATCCATGTTCATCTTAAGACCTATCCGTTGGGTGACACTACTGAGGTCATTGAGCATAGTGCTTAGTTCCTCAGCGATTCTGCCATAAGGACTATATCGTCGGCATATCGAAGGTGAGTGATGTACTCGCCGTTGACGTTAATACCGTATCCTTTCCAGTCCAGTAGCTTGAAAATGTCTTTCAATGCAGCGGTGAAGAGTTTCGGGAATATAACGTCACCCTGTCTTACACCTCTCTGCAGTTGGATAGGTTTCGTACTCTGGTTCTGTACTCGGATAGCTATCGTTGCCCTACCGTACAAACACTTCAGCACTTGGCACCGCTGTAGGGACTCCAGCACCGCCCAAATTTCGACGGAATCAAAGGCTTTCTCATAGTTTACATACGCTAGACATAGTGGCAAATTGTGCTCCTCGGACTTCTGTACAATTTGCCGAAGGGTATGTATGTGCTCTATGGTGCTAAAGCCTTTTTGGAAACCGGCTTGTTCGGGAGGCTGGAAGTCGTCGAGTCTGCATGCGAGATGATTCGTAATGACTCTCGAAAACAGCACGTAGACGCGGCTCAGAAGAGAAATCGGTCTGTAGTGCTTCAAGATTGCAAGCGTTGTTGCCTTTCTGTAAGAACAATACCACCGCACTTCTGCTCCACGCCTCCGCTGTAATGCCACCATGGAGGACGGAATTAAAGAGCTTCTGAAGGACTGCAAGTACCGGTTTTCCACCCGCTTTCAGAAGCTCCGCTGTAATTCCATCCTCGCCCGGGGCCTTGCCGTTTTTAAGGTACTGGAGAGCCATTCTAATCTCGCTCAGACTGTCTTCCGGAATATCATCGGAGTAGTGTCGGATAAGACTTGCTCTTGGATCGTTAATCACACTTGCGTGTGGTTCCAACGATGATGTGTACAGCTGCCTATAGAACCTCTCAATCTCACTCAAAATTTTAGGCGTCCCGGTAACGACGCTGCCACACTCGATCCTCAGCTTCGACAGTTGGCTCTTTCTGGCAGACAGATCTCTAGCAAAGACTTTGCAGCCCTGGTTCCGTGCGATCGCTTTTTCAATACGAGCAGTATTAAAGCCGCGTAAGTCCTGCCGCGTGCATTTGGAGATCTGTCTGTTCAGTTGCCTGTATGCTATCAAATCTACCGAAGACTGCAGCTTCATTTCCCGTCTGACATCCATGAGATTAAGAGTGTGATCGGAGAGTTTTTGTGTTTTTCTGCGGCGGTTTAAATGTATACAACATATTTATTTACATTTTTATGCTATAAAGGTTACAAAGAACGAACTTTGTTGTTGCCAGTCAAAAAATCATAGTACATATTCCATTGTGATAAAAGTTTTGTTGAAAACGTGCTCACAAATCTTACATATCTTTCCCATTTTCATTTCTATTTAATACATAAAATGTTAATACATGAATATTTATAATTAATTTTCTAGATGTATTTATTAAAATATATATAAATTAACTGTCATTTTCTGTCATGGCTTTCTTCCAGGGTTGGAGTACTTACATAATCGTTTTATTTTTATTTATACGCTTCTTGTCTTGTCTGTCCTAGTAGCTTTAGTAATATGAAACGATTGTCGTATAAGGTACAGGGATCTCTTTGTCGCTGGTCTGTGTCATTTTAATTTGTAACAAATTTTTAACTGAAAATTTATTTGTTATAACATAAAATCAAACGACCTTTTGGGACTAAGTAAGAAAGGCTCTTCTGTCATTAATATCCTCCCTATGAGTTTAATTTGTAACTTTTAAAATGGCACAGTTCAATAGGCATCCAGCATTATAAGAGGCCACAGATTATAAATAAAGTATAATAAAATATTAAATATGTTTGTTAACAATCAATAAGTGTACTTGTCGTGGGTAACATTGGTATATTGATTGCATGTGTATTGAATTCAAGCATTTCTTTAGGTAGATAGGTACTGTAAATGGTTAATTCTGGTAATAGTTGGTAAAACCTTTTTTTATTCATAGATATGCTAACCTAAGTGTATGATTTTAATAATAATGATAGATAGATTAGAATTTTGTTGGGGTATGAGCATGCATACATGGTGTTTGTTATAAGTTGTATTGTTATAAGAGTGTTAGTTATAAGTTAAGAAAAAAAACAAATTTAAAGATTGCGAAACTAAGTTACTTAAAGCCCCGATAGATGGCGGTATTTCATGTTTATGTATTTACAAGATGTAAAATAACTCAAACTGACGATCTTTATTACGCTCACCAATTGTTCTGCTAAGAGTGTCGGTTACGGTGAATCCTCTCTAATCTCTATTATAGGAGAGGTCTACGTCCAACAGTGGAGTATTTACGTGCTGATTGCGTAGAGGAGAATGCGTAAAATGCATATTGTCAAACAATATTGTAATTTTATCAAATATTGGAATGCGATTCCTTTACAATAATTGTTTAGGAGTCAATTATTTTGTATGTTTATTAATTCTGAAACGATTTTTGTAACATAGACTGTAAAAAAACTGTATCTGAGTATTTTCAAAATTATTATGGATTTACTAGGTAGCTCAAGCGCTCGCTTTAAATTTGTAGTATGGGGTAGGACTCCTTTTCTGTTTGATTCTACCTGGGATAATAACAGTGCTTGCTAGACATTCTGCCTTAATCTATGTTTTTATAATACATTTTGTATTTCCTTTTCGAACATTTTAAAACTTTTACACTTTAGAACTCGAAAACGAGCAATTCGGGTTCAATCTACGTTGGCACCACTGAATTTGTTAATTGCAATGTTTATGTAGTGTGAAGAAAACCTGCAGGGCTGCGATATTAAATAATATATTTTGAATATATATTGTGAAGGACGGAAGTAGCGGCGGACCCTTTTTTGCTCTAAGAATTACTCAGAAATGAGAGAAAGTCTTCGCCTGATTAATTAATATTTAGGCTGATTGAAATTTTAGAGAATTTAAGTAAATTTTTGTTTTTTCAAATTTTTTCTATTTTATTAGGCATTTGAGAAAAATGCCTTCTAAAAGTTTTACGTCTATAAGCGAAAATAATCTGTCCTAAAAATTCTAGCTTCGAGACCTTTTTTTAATTAAAAACTTTTAAAGAGTTATTGAAGTGCTATAATTAAGTTAAAGGGGTGACGCAATTAATTATTGTTTTGAAACAATTTCGACAATTTACAAAGAACCTCAATCTCCTAGCTCATTTAATTTTTATAAGTCTTTAACTTCTTGAGGCGTGACTCAGATCTTTTGAGGGTAATGAGGGATCTTTTCAGACGGATGTAACGTTCATTAAAATTTATGGTCCGATTAAACGGTTTCCCCATTTATAAAGGCAAATACTGACTACAGAATTTCCTGAGTATTAATTTTAAATTATATAATACATGCTACATGATGCGTAGAGTACAGATACAGTAGTAGTCCTTAGAGGTGACAACGCATCTGTATACTTCTTTATATGAAGTTAATTTTTAAAAAATTTAAATTTTTATTTATAAATTTAATTGTAGATATCCATGGGCTGGACTCTCATCGTCAGGTGGACTGAACTGACTGGCTGACTACGAACTTAGATCGTCTGTCACTTCAGTTTGATAAAAAAATATTGGCTCAAAAACGACATTCTTTGTTTTTCCACGATTTGGATTTTGGACGGCGGGATCTCCGGTCCATTTCCATAGTCCCCCATTCGTACCATAATATAGTTGCAGCATAACTCTACCATGTAAAATAGGGGTCTCTTTATGTCTTCGAAATTATATTTTTTTCAGATTTGAAATATTTTATTTCCCAGATGTACTCACGATTTTTCTTCCACCGTAGAGCATGTGGTATACCATATTAAATTTTAAAAAATAATTTCAGTAGTGCCGGCGACAGTCGAACTTTTCTTGGTCGGGTTATTAGAAATTTATGGCAAGCACTTAGGTCTGGGCTACAAATTTTTTTTAAATGCAACAAATTTTTACAGATTTTATCGAGTTTAATTGTAATTGTGAAGCACCCGAAACGTCGGGAATTAAAAAGGTAAATTAAACGCGATAAAATCCGTAAAAATCAGTTTCATTTAATGTGTAGTCTTTGCGTAAATATCAATCATTAAATCATTAAATTTTATTAGATAATAATAAAATCACGCGTTACTATTGTTAATGTGAACTTATTGATTTTAATTTGTGAAGCTTTCTTTTGTTGTTATTAGAATTCATTATAACTATTCCTCTTAGGCACAGGCGTAATCAGAGTATAAATGGAAAATGGAAGAAAAAAATAATAATTTCTATATACAGTTATATAACAGCCTACATGTCCACGTCTGGGCATGCCTACTTACATTTCTGAGTGTTTGCGAGTAGTAAAGAGTCCGCCGCGTTGATTTTAGACAATTTACAACTAATCTAAGTGATGCTAAAATATAAGTGAATTATAATGGTGTTAAGGACCCTGATAATCCAGCAGGTGAATGGCAACGCGAAGGCTGCGGCTCCCGCGGTTCCTCCCCGGGAGGTTCCTCGGGACGCGCCTCCGAGACCGCCAGCACTCGACGTCACACGGGACCAGATTGAATCCATCCGGAAATATCAGGTTAGTAATTAATTATCTTTTGTATAGTTGAACATATTCTTTTCTATGATTTAAAATATAATTCTTTTGTACGCGTTTGTGTCACTGAAATCCTCCTAAACGGCTGAATCGATTTTGATGAAATTATTTGTGTTTGATTGGGTCTCTAAATGGTTTCGATTCACAACTGGACCCGGTAGGTGGCGTTGTTGTCGAGATCCGTAAATCACCCGTGCGAAGCCGGAGCGGTCGCTAGTTCTACTAGCTAGTTCAGGTAGTGTACTTTGGAGGGAAATAGTACAGTTGTGTGACAGGATCGAGATTACGCTCGACGCTATGGGGTCGAAACATGGGAGTCAATAGACTAAGCATCGAGAATATTACATACCGGAGAACAGATCGCTGTAATTTTTTATAGGATAAGAGTGACAAACGAGCACACAGTCCACCTGATGGTAAGTGGATGCTGTGGCCCATAGACATCTACATTTATCCTCGTTTGCTGTGAGGACTAACATAGAATGCGTCTTTTCGAGTAAAAGGGTCCCCGGTTCTCTACACTCGCCATACGAAACACAGCAGCATTAAGCTGCTATTTTACGCTGGTATTCTGTGAGAGCGTGGTCCTTCCCCGGTCGAGCCGACTCATTCGTGCTACAACTATACCAGTAATATCAAGGTTTAATGTTTATTTACGGTATTTTTATATTTAAACTAGCTGTGTCCGACATTTGTTATTATTTCTTTTTCATTAGAAACATTAGCGGGTTAGAAACAAACACAACAATGCATAGAAGCTTATTCGTTAGATAAGTAGTATGGAAACGCATACAGGACAAACAAAGGAACATTCATTTTTATTCAATAATATATTGATGTTAGTACAAAATGTAGGATGTTTTCCTTCACTCCTTGATACTACGACAATGCAACGTCTGCCTGTTGAGGTCTTACGATGTCGTTTGTTGACTGCGTTCGTCTCTTCTTTATTTGTTGATATTATTCGTGACATTATTGGAATCTCAGTTTTAAATAATATTGTCAAGACGGTTCTATGATTTTATACCTAAATACTATGAAAAAAACCAGAGGAAATTATGGAAGCATTCGTTTATATAAAGAAATCATTTGCCATCAATGGTAAAGATTTATTTACATTTCGTCTCGTGGACGTTTTAGATATCTTTTCTAAAGAATCTTGTACAGTCACCGATAGATGGCGGTACATTTTACAAAGTAGAACGAGCCTATCATTACTGTGACATTTTATTCCGTGAGTGTGACCACAGAGCACGTTATGTATAACTGTGACTAGGTGATGACTAACCTATGGACCTATGGAGCATCTCTTCTATTTATTAGCTCGTAAAAGTCCACTGTTGGGCAGATTATCTACTATTTGTAAGAAAGGTTATATAAGGTATTTCTCACGCTGAGCAGGCGGATTGGTGGTTGCACTACCTTATATCTCGCACCCTTAACGTATGTCGCCAGCCTAGAATGATTCTCTTTAGCTGTTTCAAGCAATTGGTTTTTTAAGTCAAACGAGTGGTAAAAGATATTCGTAGTCGAGAACTAGCGTTGTGAAATACAATTGCATCATATATCAGTATGAAAGCAATAGTGTGCTTCGAAGTTACTATATAGTAGCCGCCTATTCTATTCCTTCTTAGCAGGGTTGACTGGTAAAGAATGCCATAGGACATTATGTCCGCCCTTTGTAGTTTCTAGTTGAAGGCAATAAAGGATAAATAAATTTAAAAAAAATAGAAGGAAAAATGTTTAGGTGTTTCCACAGAATAAAAATAGTATAATAAGTATTTCTTTAAACTCAAAGTAATCTATGGCAAAGTTGTTTTCAATAAAATTGGCGTTGGTCAAAGATAGCGTAATAACGTATATATCTATGATTGAATTTTTATTTATTTACACAAATATCACACACCGTAGCAACGCTGCTCTAAACATCGCACGGAGCACCAGCGTTCCACCGAGATAAAATAAAAAAAATGTGTAGGCTTTTTTCGTGCTACATTTATCTTATTACTATTACAACAAACAGTTACCGTTCCAGCCTATTTTAAGTCCACTGCTAAACATAGGCCTTCCCCATATATTGCCTCATAGGGGGTATATTTGCCATAGCTGCCAATATGTAAGGTACGTGTACCTTGTACTAGAACGGTACAAAAAAGGACTCAAAAAAGATCGATTTCTAAATCGATATTTAGCAGTGAATCGATATTTCACCCTAGAAATCGAGATTCGATTTTTCTTTATTGGAACCATAAAATTATCTGTATACAATTAACTGAGTGTACCCAAACACGTAAAAAAGTTAGGTACAGTTTTTCACTTAATTATTTGACAACTCGCGAAATGACTGTGTGCACAATTTCTTTCGCCTCTTCTTAATGGATTAATGAATAATAACAAGTTACGTTTGTTAGTTTGTATTTACACTACCAACAAAATACAACAAAGCGATTGTTGTATTTTGTTGGTAGTGTAAATACAAACTCGAAAAGTAAATCAAAGAAGATCAATTTTAATCGATCTTTTAAATCTCGATTTATTTGAGAATCTGATTTCGATTAAAATCCATTTGAAAATCAATCGTTTTTAGGAAAACTGCCACCCTAATTGGCTAGGTTAGATAAAAGTCGTATATTACAAAAATAATAGTAAGGAAGAAAATAAAAAATCGACTATTGTAATAAAACTTAATACTGAGCCGTGGTACCTCAGATGGTTAGCGCTCGCTGTATATTTACAGCGAGCGCTAACACAGTACGCGAGCAACCCGGGTTCGATCCCCGCCGGCACCAATGTCATTGTTAATTGCAATTTTAAGTGCTTTACCACGTGCTCGGCGGTGAAGGAAAACATCGTGAGGAAACCTGCATGTCTGAGAAATAAGAAAAAAATATTTTGAAAACACGTGAAGTTCGTCAACACGCATTAGGGCGGCAAGGCGGACATTTCCTTGCCCTAAAACCCTTTTAGAAATGAGAGGAGGCCTGTGCCCAGCAGTGGAACGTATCTTTAACTTTTAACTAAATCTAAAATACATATATAAAGTCACGTTATAAGTCGTTCTGATGTTACAAGTAGTTATCTAACGTGACAAAGTCTGATTTTTCACTGTGACTTTTTCGTAACCGCAACGATGTTAACGGTTATTTAAAAATAACCGTTTTCCCCAAGTCTCTTACAGCATCCACGAGAAGATATGGATATTCATGCACCGCCACTACAAGGTAATTGATAATTTCTGAAGACATTTTATTTATCGACAACGTCTTGCAATCGTCGTTTCTCTAGCGCTCACTTGACGTTCATACAAATAATTCAATATTTTAATTGTTGATATTATTTTTTTTATTTTAAGAACGAACATAGTAAAATTAATTGGCAAAATGACTCTACGTTATTTTTACGTTTTTCTTTAAAAAAGTATTGTCTATCAAGAGAAGCCATAATTTAAAAAAAGAAGATGATTTTTTACGTGGTAGAGCCATGCTGCAGCTATATTAATAGTATAGTTGTAGCACGAATGGGTCGGCTCGACCGGGGAAGTACCACGCTCTCACAGAATACCAGTGTAAAATAGCAACTTAATGATGCTGTGTTTCGTATGGTGAGTGTAGAGAACCGGAGACCCTTTTTACTGGAAAAGAGGCATTCTATCTTAGTCCTCACGGCTGACAACGCATCTGCATTTTAATTCGCAAACGAAGATAGATGTAGATGTCTATGGGGCACAGCAACCACTTACCCTCAGGTGGACTGTGTTCTCGTTTGTCACCCTTATTCTATAAAAAAAAGATGAAGAAAAAAAAATATTGCCCTTGTCTGAACATAGCTCTGACTAAGTTGGTCCAATAAAATGTCGGGGCCTGAGTGGTTGTTTCACGGAGATGACTGACATACAGATATTTAGATGATTATTATTTTGAGTAATTAAATGAAGTTATGAAGTATACTGACGTGGGCTAAAACATTCTAATTTGGTTACCTAGTGATTTGGAACCTTAATGCACATTGCAAATCACCTGGTTGTGGTGTGATTGTGACAGTGAATGGGGTCGTTATAAACTAATTTGCTTAATTCCGCGTAAAAAAAGAAAATGATGTGTCCTGCCCAGTTTTAAGGGGACCTCCCACCCTCCCTTCCCTCAATCGCGCGCACTATACCCGTCGCCGTCAATCCCAGCACTACCATCCCCAGCACCACCACACCAGGCACGACACACCACTCTACTCTACGCGGAATTAAGCAAATTAGTTTATAACAACCCCATTATAATGGATTTCCGCAAAGTAACGCCTGATTCTATTAATTATGTGACAGTGAACCCTAGTCTTACTCCGATCATTATCACCATCGTCGTTACGAAACGTACAAGTCTGAGAAATTAAAAACCTCTCGAGGAACTGTGAAGTCTAGCGAGACTTATCAATTCGACCAACCCTTCTCTACTCCATTATTACGTTAATAAAAAGAGAAGGCTTGTTCCACTAGAATCTGTCATTCAAAGCTCGTATTCTTAGGGAGTATGGTTTGGTCGGAGGTCCAGCCAATCTATTAATGATGTAACCAGATTACATTGCAGCAAGTCTCTACCACTTAAAAAAAAAAGTTACATCCACACTAGGATTTTCTTCTATATCGTCGTGGTAGTTTACATATATAAATTTCACAAGGACAAATATACAGACCCGGAACAATTATTTGTACCCCATACAAATACTTCTTCTGTGCGGGATTCGAATCCGCGGCCCTCAGCGCTGCAACTTATTGCTGAGCCACAGCGCCACGGAGCAGTCTAAATTTAGTAAATTGGTTGAATCCAGTAAATAATGTTGTATCAATTACTTCGTCCGTTAACGTTTGGCCGATGTTACACATTTCACTGACCCATATTAGGTAGATAGATAGATAAATATATCATTTGTTCACGGAATAACACTAACAGTAAACGACATACTGAACATTGTAAACTATTATGTGGTCTTGT